TCTTTCGGACGCATAATTTTTGACCGTAGCGTTTGGTCCGGCTTATGAGCTACTTGTACGTTATAGGGGGCCAGTAACCTGGCCGTGGCCTCCGATACATTATTAATATACGGCAAGGTGACGCGTGTGGTTTGCGTGTCAGGTTCCCTCTTGCGTTAGTTGTTGTGGGATCTCAGTACTCCACTATAGTGTCTTATGAATTTAGGGGGGTAGCCATTCAGGCGGCAGACCCGGTGCAAGTGCCTCCTCTCTTCAAACTTAGCCCTCGCTGTGCTGCAATGCGTGTGTATACGCTGGAACAGCGTCCTAATACAGCTGGCCTTATGGGAAACCGGATGGTTACTACCATAGTGGAGGATGCGGTCCGTATGGGTTGGTTTACGGTAAACTTTGGTACTAATAGAACCATCTGGCAATCGCTGGACCATCACATCCAGGAAGGCCAGTGAGCCACGCGTCTCCTCCTCCATGGTAAATTTAATATCCGGATAGATGGAATTTAGTATTCCCATAAGGTTAGCTCTATGTGCCCGTTTGACGACAACAAAGGTGTCGTCAACGTACCGTACCCAAAACCTGGGTCGGTACCGGGTCATAGTCTCGCGCTCCAGCTGCTGGAGAACCACCTCCGCTATGACACTGGAGATGGGGGAGCCCATGGGTGTGCCTTTTACCTGTTCATAAATAGTCCCTTGAAATGTAAAATATGTATTCAGGCAGAATCCCACAAGTTGGATGAGATCTTCTATATGCAGGGAATCCCAGGGACAGTGCCCTTCTTGCTGTCTAAGTTGTTCTTCTACGACTTTGAGGGCTAGGTCACGAGGGATGGAGGTGAAGAGGGAGGTAACATCAAAAGAGACCATCACCTCGTCCTCCTCCACCCTCAAAGTTTTTATTCTTTCCAGGAATTCACCTGCTGATTTTACAGTGGTGGGACTATCCTCCACCAAGTGGGAAAGGCGGCCGCTAAGCCACTTCGCCAACCCAGAAATGGGGGTACCCCGAAAGGAGACAATGGGGCGGAGTGGGACTCCCTCTTTATGGATTTTCGGGAGTCCATAAAATCTGGGGGGCGCTGTGTCAGTGGGGCGCACCCTCCTAACAATACTCTCCTCCATTCTCTAGGCCCGCTTAAGGTGTTCTAAGGTTTTGTTTATCTTGTTGTTCATTGTCACCCTGGGGTCCCTCTCAGTAACCCTATAGGCTGTTACGTCTCCCAACAACTCCAACGCTTTGGTCACGTATAATGTTCTGTCCATTATAACAGTCGCCCTGCCTTTGTCGGCCGGGAGCACAGTAATGGTACTGTCCTTTCTAAAATATTCCAGGGCCTCCTCTTCCTCCCTGGATAATGCTCGGTAGCCTCTGTGACGTAACAATAACCCCGTGACCTGTTGTTTAATAAGATCCTTGGAGTCCTCCCTCATCTCTGCCCGGTACATAGCAGGTTCTAAGGCTGCGATAAAATCCAGCAGGTGGGCATCAGCGAGGTTGTGTCCCACATCGCGTTGCAGCAGAGCGAGTTGAGAGTTAGTAAAACATTTGGAGGACAGGTTATGCACCAACCTTTTGCTAAATCCGCTATCACACAAACCACGTAAACAATCTACCTTGCCCTGGAGGCGTGTAGCTGTTTGCTGGCCGGTCCTGTCCGCCATAAGCCAGTCACGCGGTCACGTAGCCGGATGCAGGCACTCGAACACAGCATATAAACCCTCCCAAAAACCGCCGTAGCAGCCCTGATGATGTCGGGAGGGCCCGACGAAAGCTTGGTTGCCTATAATTTTAACAATGTTTTATTGCTTTTAAACTGTTTTTAAACTTTTTAATTGCTTTTAAATATTTTATCTCCTCTTGGTG